TCTAACCCTCCCCCACCCATGCTCTGTCTGTCTCAAAAAATAAACTATTAAAAAATTTTAAAAAAACTGGATAACCATATAAAAAAATAAAATAAAAAATAGAGGGAGATAAATACTGAAAAAAGTGAGATGCTAGACCTAAGTCCATTATTTATTAGTAACTACATTATATTATGGACTGATATTCCAAATGAAGGAAAAGGATTTTTAAGTGTGATTTAAAGCAGATAAACTCCACATATAGTATATGCATAAAAGGAGACTAATAAAAGGCTACGAGAAGATTAACAAATTGAGGAGAAGCGAGCTGATGTAACTATGCCATAGTACTTAAACAACTTAGTACTTAAACAACTTCTGTGAATAAGTAGGAGCGTAAGGCTCCTAGTTCCCTCTTCTCACCCATATCATAAGGAAACCTCTTGTGGCAGAAATTTCATTACTGCATTGCAAACACTCATGTCTTCACACACAGCCTGGCCACCATTGTTCTCCCTCCCAGAAAGCATGACTTTATTAACATGTCATTCCCATTGCCAAAATTCTTGAACATGTGATTTGATTATTCCTTTCTTCTAAGGTCTTCAGTTAGCCTGTCACTATCTCATTGATATTGGCAGAGAAGCTGAGACATTGAGGTCAGAGACAAAGGCCATAACTTGATCATGGTCTAGCCAGCAGTATGAGCATCAGCTTGTCTGAATTGGCTCCCTTTGTCCCCACGTCTATCCAGGGTTACAAAGGGCCTACATGGATGCCCCTGTACACCCTGGTGCTAAAGGACAGGAATGCTGAGCTTGTGGAATCTAGTTTATTTGAAGTAGTAAGCAAGCCTGCTCTTTGTCTCAATGGGAGAGATGATCTCATCACTCAAGTTTCTTCACTGCAAAGGTACATCTAACAAATTGCCCAGGGAAAGAGTGGTGAGGGACTCGCAGGTATAAAAGTGAATGGGGGCAAGAGAGAAAGGTGCACACATAATTCCCATTCAGGATTGACTGGGAAGCTTGATCCGGATTATCATTACAGGGTCTGATTAAGCCTCAAGTGTCACCAAGCAGCGGCAACCCTCATGGCCACCTGTGACGTAACCCAATGCTGCTGGGGCATCAGGTTGTATGAATTTGTATCACTGAGGCTGAAACCAATTTGCGTCTGTCCCTTTCTGCACCCAACGTTCACACTTTAGAATTGTCAGGGATGGCATCAAGCAGAGATGACTGTCAAGACCAGCTATATTCAGACAGTATTTTTGTTTTCACAGCACTTGGATAGAATGACAAACACAGAGCCAGATCCCATTGCCGTGACACCTGTTGCTTGAGCTACCAAGATGATATGGTTGTTTTGCCAGACTGTGGTGCTGGACATAGAGGCGGAAAAGCACATTCATTATTCTCAGCTTCCTGCTGCACAGCTTGAGTAGGAGTATATGGGCCTCCCCAGTTGGTAGGGTGGTGTCCCCAGGGCATGTGTTGTTCATGGTGTCCCACATCACTAGGTGTAATCTCACATTTTCACCACTCATCCCATGTCATTCTGAGATTTCATGGGATAGGATCAGGTGAGAGAGGGACACAAGGTCATCCTTCCAAAACTGACAGACACGGTTTACATCCCCTACCCTGGCTAGTGTGAACAGAGTAGATGGACTCCATGAGCGGTTTCAATAGTGTTGTAGTCACTGTGTTAGCAACCTCTGATCACGCCAGTCAAGTAAGAGCACTCAGGTGGTAGAAGACAAAGGGTGAATTGCATAGGTCCACTTTGGGGCAGGATGCAATCTGGAAGGTACAGCAACTAGACTGGTCTAGCCATCAGGGCAAGGATACATCATGCCCCCCAGAAAAGGTCGGGACACAATGATACATTTTAAAACAGATGACAAAGGGGCAGGGGAAATACAAGTATCATTTTGCCTAACACATCCAACTGACGGGTTATCTAAGAACAAAACTCACTTAAAGACTTCCAACAGATGTGAATGTCCTTTACATGCAAAAAACATTCCTACATTATTTGCTATCATTGCTCTTGGCACACTCTCGCAGTAAAGCCACAGGACTGAGAGACGCATCTCACCAAGTTAAAAAATGTATCCAGGGGCACCTGGGTGGCTTAGTAGGTTAAGCATCCAACTTCGGCCTCAGGGCATGATCTCGCGGTTCACGAGTTCGAGCCCCACTTCGGGTTCTGTGCTGATGGCTCATAGCCTGGAGCCTGCTTCAGATTCTGTGGCTCCCTGTCTCTCTCTCTCTGCCCCTCCCCTGCTAACACACACACACTCTCTCTCTCTCTCTCTCTCAAAAATAAACATTAAAAAAAAATCTATCCATCTAGACAACCACCCACATGACAAAGGGTCTGGATCAGGTTCTGAGTCTGATGTGGGGCTCGAATCCATATATTGTGAGACCATGACCTGAGCTGAAGTTGGACGCTTAACCAAATGGGCCCCCCAGGCACCCCTCATTATTGTTTTTAAATCAGTAAGCAATCGAAGAATAACATGTTTGCTAGACCTGACAGTTATTTGGTACATAAGATTGAAAGTTGCCTTTCTTTAGGGAGGGAGGGATTGCTCGTCGCCACATAAAACCCCTATTTTTTTTCTTTTGGACTCTTATCTTTCCCCATTTTTTTTTCCCTGTATGTATTTACCTATAAACTCCCGATGGTCCTGGATGGCCCTGTGCTATGAGCAATGACCTCCCTCTCTAGACTGTCCCTTTCAATCTCAGGGGGACTAGAGTCTATCTCCAAGAGAGCAACATGGGGGATTCCCAATTTTTTTTTTAATTTTTTTTAATGTTTTATTTATTTCTAGGAGAGAGAGAGAGAGACAGCATGAGCAGGGGAGGGTCAGAGAGAGAGGGAGTCACAGATTGAAACAGGTTCCAGGCTCTGAGCTGGCAGTTAGCACAGAGCCCGACGCGGGGCTCGAACCCACGAACCGCGAGATCGTGACCTAAGCAAAAGTCGGACGCTTAACTGACTAAGCCACCTAGGCGCCCCGGGGGGGGATTCCCAATTTTATAATAATTTGGTTTTCAAGAAGATGCTCTTAAACGTTGATAGGCAGTGGCACTCAAGGGAGCCCACGCACATTGACCAGGAGATTCACAAACTAGTTCGAATTGAGAAACCTCCTGAGGTTTCTTTTAGGGGGAGCGGGAACAAAATGTTCTTACCCTTGTCCCTTTTTCATTAAACACTGAGCCATCAGTGTCCATGGATAAGATTGCTCATAGTCCACCAGGTAGGCAGGGGAACACATCATGACAGAAGTGAAGCAAGGAACAACAGAGACATGTGAGAGCTGCTGCTGTCTTTGGCAGAGAAGGCTGCTGAGGACCTCCTGATCTCTGTGTCCCCCACGGGGGATGCTGTGACTGAGGAGACTCCCCACTCCACCTTGGGGTTGCAAGGAACACCACCAGATAGTGTGGAGAAGAGGTAAGTTGTTTCTGGTTGTCCTTACAAATTGGTAGGAAGAAAATGTTACTGACTAGGTCTACAGTTTGCATTGATATCAAGTGAATTTTAACATTTATTATTAGGGAAGAAAGATGGGCACTATATAAGAAGAAAAGGGCAATTTACTAGAAATATAGGATGACTACATTTGTAAGCATCTAGTTATAGTGCCTCAAAATAAAACTGGAGAATTAAAAAAAAAAACTACCCACAGTGATAGTGGCACATTTTAACATACCTCTCAAAGGACAAAGAGAGAAGGAAGGTTTTAATGATGTGAATTTTAAAAACACAGTAAGATTCATCCAACAGATACACTGAGAGTCAATTATACCAAAAAATTACAGAAGAGGCAGTATTTTCAACCATACTTAAAGGATTCATAAAACTTGACCACATATGAAATGTATTAGTTGGTGCGCCTGGGTGGCTCAGTTGGTTAAGCATCCAACTTCGCCTCATGTCATGATCTCACAGTTCATGATCTTGTGGTTTTGATCCCTGTGTTGGGCTCTGTGCTAACAGCTCAGAGTCTGGAGCCTGCTTTGGATTCTGTGTCTCCCTCTTTCTCTGCCTCTCCCCCACTCACACTCTATCTCTCTCAAATATAAACAAACATTTTTAAAGAATGGAAATGTATTAGTTAACTGAAATCCATTTTAACAGAATCTTCCCTCCAGAGTGGTTTAAACCAGTTAAGAACTTATTTTTTCCTGTGTTACAGGAAATCCAGAAATAGGTAACTCAGGGTTAGTACAGCCAAATAATACTGTATATATCCCTGTTGAATAATCAGTAGCCTCTGACTATCATCCTCTTGGTCTATTTTCTAGGAAAGAAGAAGAGATAGAACAAAGGGTAAATGGTAAAGAGAAAATCCCAGATGAGGCATTCCCACTTCCATGGGCTTCTCTAGAACCCACAAGCAGTAACCTCTCTCTATTTCTCACTGGCCAGAACTATGGGCTCATGGGCAGTCATACGGCAAAGAAGTTGGGAGATGAGTCCTTAAAAAATTGTCCATGCTGTCAACCTGAATACAATTATATAGTTTTGTTACTTTAGGAAAGGAAGAGTAGACTAGATCTGGGGATAGCAACTCATTGTATCTGACACATTAGCCCACACAGAAAGTCTCCAACAATTTTCTGCTTGGATCTATGTCATACAGAATCTGTATCATGGAGACCATGCATTCTGTGTATAATGCAATTAAATTAGAAATATATAAAAAATAACATGCATGGAGTCTGCACATTAAAAAATATATTTCTAAATAGACTACAGGTTCACTACATCTATCTTGATGAGGACTGGACAACATTTAGTAGTAAATCACAGTGAAAACATTATTTATCAACACTTTTGTGATGAAGATTAAGGGGACTTTAGAGAACCCCATAACCTTTAATACTCAACAGTTAACATGGTGTCGCTCTTTCAGGAGGAAACACTCACTGATAAAGACAATCACAGACCCACAATATTTGTAAGATTGGTCCCAGTATAGCAGAAGTCAGGAATTGTGCCTGAAGGCTTTCTATATTGGTCACAGCATGGTTGCACTCCAGTGTGAGTTCTACAATGAGGAGTGAGGGGTCAAGGATCATCAAAGGCTTTCGTTAGTTATTTCACTCATACTTTCGGCCCAGTGTGTATTCGCTTGTGCATTATAAGGTTAGTGCTGGTGCTGAATGCTTTTCCACACTGAATACATTTATAGGGCTTCTCTCCTGTGTGAGTTCTCACATGCACCCTCAGGCAAGAGGAATTCCTAAAGGCCTTCCCACATTCTTTACACTCATAGGTTTTCTCTCCGGTGTGAGTCCTCTTGTGCACAATGAGGTAAGAGCCCGTGCTGAAGGATTTTCCACACTGACTACACTCGTAAGGTTTCTCTCCAGTGTGAGATCGTGTATGTTTCTTAAGGGATGATTGATCAATGAAGGCTTTCCCACAGTCGCTGCATTCGTAGGGTTTCTCTCCAGTGTGGGTTCTCATGTGTTTCTGAAGAGATGAAGGAACAGTGAAAGCCTTGCCACATTCCTTACAGTCATAGGGTTTCTCTCCAGTGTGAGTCCTTCTGTGCACGTTAAGATGAGAGCTCTGGCTAAAGGACTTTCCGCAGTGATTACACTCATAAGGTTTCTCTCCAGTGTGAGATCTCACATGCTTTTTAAGGGAAGACTGAAAAATGAAGGCTTTCCCACAGTCACTACATTCATAAGGCTTCTCTCCGGTGTGAGGTCTCACACACTTCTGAAGGGACAAGGGGCCAGGGAACACTTTCCCATGCTCATTACATTCTGAGCTTTCCTCCACAGCACCCATTTTTTGGTGGGTGCTAAGGGTAGTTCTTTCTCCATAATCACTGCACTCACAGAGTTTCTCTCCAGTAGGAATCTGCTCATGTACTGGAAAGGAAGAGTGTACACTGAGGGACATAAGACACTGGTTACACTCGTGAGGTTTCTCTCCTGTGAGAGTCCTTAAGTGTTTCCTAAGGGAGGACTCTTGATTGAAAGCTTTGCCACAATCATTAAACCCAAGGGTCTTCTCTCCACTGTGAGTACTTACATGACTCCTAAGGGTGTGGCCAAGGTCTTTCCCACTGTCTTTATATTTGTGGCATTTCTCTCCCTCGCCATGTCTTGTACACATAAAGTGACAGTTCTTTCGGAAGAATTTTCTACAACCATCAAATTCCAAGGGTTTCTTGCTGGCCTGCTGAACAAGGAGTAAGTGGTGACTAAGGATTTTCTCATGTTCTTTACACTCACGACAATTCTCTTCCATGTGGATTTGGCCATAAATAGGAAGCACACATTGCAATGGACATTTTTACTATTTACAGTGCATGTGTATGAATTTTTTTGCCCTATTCTTTCAAGTTGAATCAGCTCTAACCCAGGACTCCATCATTCCTAACAAAGGACATCCTAAATACAGAGTTTTGCCAATAATGAGTAAAGATTGAATTAATTATGTATTAAATACTTAACAATGGAATCACATTTAAATAAAAGTTTACTTTTTGGCATTCTTTGTGAAACAGCAAGTGTTGAGCTAGGTTTAGAGATTTCTCTAATTTTATGAGATTCAGGAATACTTTCCCAAGACAGCCACCTGCCTCACTGTCTCCCCTCATTTGGAAGCTGGTGCTTTAACTCCATGACATTCACAGACTTCTCCTCCTGTGAAAGACCAGGAATCATTCCTAGTGAATCTTACCATCTTTGTGTCATTGCAAGTCTTTTCTCCAGGAACATTCTGTACAGGAGATGCATCTTTTGATTTCAGTTGAATATCCCAGTCTGAAATTAAAACATTTTATAACTATTGGTATGAAAAAATAGGGATAACAGCAAAAAAGGATGTAGGTGCCCCATGGATGTGTTTTCAATAGCACTAAATATAGAGAGGAAATGTGAAACAGAAGATGTAACCGTGATCAGAGAAATTATTCTAGGAACTTGGCTCTGGGAGAAGATGCCCTTGATAGGAAAGAGCAATGGAATGGGAAGTGTTTTACTTAGAAAGGATTCTGGAGGTTTGAGACAACAGGAGAGTGTATTATCTGGAAAGCAAAGCAGGGAGAATGGCACAACAAGTATTCAAGGAAATGCAAAATTTAAAGAGGAATCAAAACAGTATTTTTCTCAGGGTGCCTGGGTGGCTTAGTTGGTAGACTGACTTTGGGTGACATCATGATCTCACGGTTCATGAGTTCGAGCCCTGAATTGGGCTCTGTACTGACAGAAGAACCCACTTTGGATCCTCTCTCTTCCTCTCTCTCTGGCCCTCCCCTGCTTGTGCTCTCTCAAAAATAAACAGTAAAAAAAAAAAAAAAAAGAAAAGAAAAATATTTTTCCTCTGAGGCTAGACAAAAATATGAAATGAGGGGAGAGACAGTCAAGGACGGAAAGTTCAACTAATGGCCTGTGTTCTCAACCCAAACTGATGCTCCTAAAAGACCATCCAATAACTCCTTTCTGCCTGGGACTCACCTGTACAGGCACCTTGGAGTGTTCCTCTCTCCTCTGGCCTCAGTGCTTCCTGCTCCACCTCAGTGATCAGACCGTGCTTGAAGAGAGGGTACCCTGCTCATGGAGAAAGACATGTGAGAGGGAGGACCGTGAAGGAAACAGGAAATCTTTCCACAAAACTGGTTCTAATACTTTGATAGTAAAGGGTTCTGAAGACAGGCAAGTACAACTTCAGGAGTGACAAAGGAATCAGATCCGAGCTTTCTCACAAGGTCCCCCAAACAAACACCTACACACCCTATTCACGGGGAATGGACCCTTGACACCCAAGCGCAAGAAGAAATACACACACTATAGATTACTTAAATGCCATAATAATAGTGAAAATGAAATCAATACATTTTTACAGGAAGCCATGAGACTCCCACAAAGGCAGGGACCACTCATTTTGTGTTGACCGTGTATTGCCGTTCTTTTCACAAAACCCAGAACATGGTATGTGATGAAGGACTATCTGCTGCACGAAGAAATGGAAAAATGAAGGAAGAAGGCCAATCTCACCCACGGAGGCCAGGTTCCTGTAGTTCTCCAGCATCACGTCTCTGTACAGGATTTTCTGAGTAGGGTCCAGCAGCGCCCACTCCTCCTGGGAGAAGTCTACTGCCACTTCCTCAAAGGTCACTGAATCCTGAAATATCACACACATTCAGGCTCAGCCAAGGCCCATCTCTAAGAATGTGGCAAAAGAATGGTAGAGGAGGCTGCCAGGATGGGGGAAGAAGACCAGCACACCGCTCGGGAAGTGCAGTTGTGCTGTGGGGGCCTCCTGTTATCTGCCCCAACGCTCAGTTCTCGGAACTCTCCTCTTTTGCTTTCCCTGCCTGGACCACCTCACCCAGACTTGCATGTTTAGCAGCTTTTCTAACACATAGTTGACCTGATATTTCCAACACTAGGTTGCAAGGACCCTTCCACTCTTGGTCAAGATCCAGTACAGACTGACTGTACTGCAGGATGAGGAAAATACTTGGAAAATGAATGAATGATTTTCCTACAGAATATGGAACTAACACTCAACCTAGAGAAGTATCTGAAAAAAAAATTAACAAATGTTGTAGTAATAGAAGACTTTCCAAACGCATTCTTTCTCTCATTCTGAGAAGCCCAGAGAACTGGGAAAGCCTGAGGACAGCCCAGCGGAAGCTATGGGTTGTGGGCAAGACATCTCTGTATGCTTTGGGGACATTTTTTTTTTAAACAGAGTAATTTCCTATATACCTGTGACCAGGTTGTCAACAGTCCTGCATCCATTCTTCCTCTTGTGTGACTCCCTCCTCACCAGACAGGGTTCTGAGCAAGCAGACCTAGCGAAGAAAAATACCATGAGAGTCTGGGCTTGACAGATATTCAACACTCACAACCCAGAAACTTCCTCATACTAGCTTCAGAGGGACTCCCCCCGCCACACACACATGCACATATACATACCCACAGTACAGTTCACTGTTAAGATTTTATTTCCCTATCCAAGAACATCTAGGAATTAGGAATCTAATACATCCTTTTTTCTTTTTAATCATTTTTCTAGGCTGAACTACTAAAAATGTCTAGAGCCAATAGGCATTGCAAGGAGCAATGGAGCCCCCCTAATACCAGAATGCCTCTAAATGTCATTTGTCTGTGAAAGAAACCAAGGCTCATCTGAGAAATAGCTGAGTCTTGTGTAGAACATGAAATGCTCAAGGTGAGTCTCGAACATCTTTTTAAAATTATTTTTTAATATTTATTTATTTATTTGGAAGAGAGAGGGAGAGACAGAGTGTGAGTGGGGGAGGGGCAGAGAGAGACAGACAGAAACAGACAGACAGAATCTGAAGCAGGCTCCAGGCTCTGAGCTGGGGCCTGATGTGGGCCTCCAGCTCACGAATAGTGAGATCATGACCTAAGCCAAAGTCGGACGCTTAACCTACTGAGCCACCCGGGTGGAATATTTTATAGCAGGAAGCAAGAATCCCAGCAAAGGCTAATGGGGTTGGGTCAAAAAGACACAGGAGAAAACTTAAAGGAGCTCCCCTGGCTTAAGATGGAATAATTTAGGGACCCCTGGCTGGCTTAGTCAGAAGAGCATGTGACTTGATCTCAGGGTTGTGAGTTCGAGTGCCACGCTGTATGTACAGATTACTAAAAAATGTAAAATCTTAAAAAAAAGAACAATTTAGGAAATAATGTCTGTAGTCAATTGAAATCATCAAATGTAAAACAAAATCATGAGTTCATAATTATAAAAAAAAAAAAAAACCAACCCAAACCTTAATGGTATTGGAAAACACCAGGATATCAAGTCATAATTCTGAAAATTCAGAGGAAGCACAAATCAGGCATGTGTCCCTCTCTCCTTTATGAACAATATTTTATGATTTCCAAGTTGTTGTGATGGGTAAGAGTTCTTCTTTATGCAAGAATCGTACATGCTTTATAAGCTGGGTTCATTATAAAGAAATGTTAGAGTCATAAAGTCACCATTTTGCAACCACTAGTAAATTAATGGATCTAAGCAATCACAGTCAGTGGCTACTCAATTATTAGGGGAAAAGAAAATGGGGATGTTTACTTTCAACTTTCAATTTTGAAAAAACTTTCAAACTGAAAGAAAAGATGATTTGTGTGAATATGATAAACTTCCACAGACTCTTTGCCATTAAAATTTGTCTTCTCTCTCCACCCCTCCCCACCCTTGTACCCCCTCTGTGTTTCAGCAAGAATGTTATTGAGAAGAATCTATGTGAGAAGAAACATCAGATGTCATGACCCTTTTCTCCTATATACTTCAGAGTGACCAAAGACTTGGACATTCTCTAACATAACCACAATTATCAAAATCAGAAACATTTAAACTTGGATTTAATATTATTATGGAACATACACTATTATGGTCCAATAGTGTCGTTTACAGCAATCACTTTTTGTTTAATTTTTTTTAACATTTGCCCATTTTTTAAAATGTTTTTATTTATTTCTAGGAGAGAGAGAGAGAGACAGCGTGAAGAGGGGAGCGTCAGAGAGAGAGGGAGTCACAGACTGAAACAGGCTCCAGGCTCTGAGCTGGCAGTCAGCACAAAGCCCGACGCGGGGCTCGAACCCACGAACCGTGAGATCATGACCTAAGTGAAAGTCGGACGCTTAACTGACTAAGCCACCCAGGCGCCCCAACATTTGCCCATTTTTGAGAGACAGAGAGATACAGAGCGCAAGCAGGGGTGGGCAGAGAGAGCGAGAGACACAGAATCCGCAGCAGGCTCCAGGCTCTGAGCTGTCAGCACAGAGCACCACGCGAGGCTCAAAACCACAAGATCATGAACCGTGAGATCATGATCTGAGCCTAAGTTGGACACTTAACCGACTGAGCCACCCAGGCGCTCTAGAAATCAGGATTTTTTTTTTTTTAGTGTATTTATTTATTGCGGCGAGGGTGTAGGGGTGGAGGAGGGAGACAGAGAATCCAGAGCAGGCCCTTCACTGTCAGCACAGTTGGGCTCCATCTCAGGAACTGTGAGATCATGACCTGACCCCAAATCAAGAGTTGGCTGCTCAACTGACTGAGCAGCCAGGTGCCTCTAGAGCAATCACTTTTTAAATTTCCCCTATGGCATCATGCCCTCAAACCATGGTTCTTTATGCTTCTTTGATCTGTACCTATCCCTCAGCCTTTCTTCATCTTTCAAGATACAAAGAGTCCAGGTCCAATATTTGACAGATTCTACTTCAATTTTGGGTTTTCTGATGTTTTCTCAGGATTAGATTCAGGAAGTGCAATCTTGCATGAAGGATCACCTAACTGATGCATGTCCTCCTCAGCGTGCCACCTTAGGAGGCATATGATGCCAGTCTGTCTCATTACTGGTGAGAACCATGATCAGTTGGTTAAATGCATGCCACAGGTTTTTCCATGAAGTTATCATTTTCTCCTTTTGTAATTAATAAGGAATCTTATTAACTAGGGTGATAATTGAAGACTATATACATAAGCTGAGAACATTTATTAAGGAAGAATCGAGCTGACACTGGAACCAAGTGATAAATCTTAACATCACAAAGGTGTCTGGATAGCACATAAGTTCTGATACAATGTAAGAAGAAACAGCACCACCTATAAAGTATTCTTGTCAAAAAAACCCCTGACAAATCCCTTCATCTAATTAGCAGTTTACAGGAGAAAGAGACTGAGGGAAATGTTAACATCATGAAGATACAAGAAGCCAAACCCAGTCTGGGGGACAGACGGGAAGGACACGTAATGGCTCACTGAAGCGTGTGGACCTTCCATTGCGATTCCCACAACACCAACTGTAGAAACATATTTTGAGACATTTAGGGGGAACTGAGCACAGGCTGGGTATTAGATGAGTAGATGAGTATTAGTATTAGATGAGTATTAGATGGGTATTGGCAAGGAGAAAAGCAGCCCCTGGCGGAGAAGGGGGAATCCTTTTGCACTGCTGGTGGGAATGCAAACTGGTGCAGCCACTCTGGAGAACAGTATGGAGGTTACTCAAAAAATTATAAATAGAACTACCCTATGACCCAGCAATTGCACTACTAGGTATTTATCCAAGGGATACAAAAATGCTGATTCAAAGGGGCACATGCACCTCAATGTTTATAGCAGCACTATCGACAACAGACAAATTATGGAAAAGAGCTCAATGTCCATTGACTGATGAATGGATAAAGAAGATGTGGTATATTTATACACTGGAATATTACTTGGTGATCAAAAACATTGAAATCTTTCCATTTGCAACAACATGGATGGAAGTAGGGCATAATGCTAAGTGAAATCAGTCAGTCAAAAGAAAGACAATAATATGATTTCCCTTCTATGTGGAATTTAAGAAACATGACAGATGAACATAGGGGAAGGAAAGGGAAAAAAAAGAAAAAGAGAGAGGAAACAAACTATAAGAGACTCTTAACTATAGAGAACTAACTGAGGGTTACTGGAGGGGAAATGATTTGGGGGATGGGCTAATGGGTAATGGGTATTACAGGGGGCACTGATCTAAGTATAAGTGACGAATCATTAAATTCTGCCCCTGAAACCAATACTACACTATATGTTAACTAACTTGAGTTTATATTTTTTAAAAAATGTGGTAACCCTAATAGGATCCTGATTTAATTAAACCAACTGTAAAAAGATATTCTGGAGACAATCAGAGAACTTTGGAGTTTCCCAGATGAGAAAAGGGTATGGTGGCTATGTACTAGTTATAGACGCATACTACTGATGAAAGGACATGATTTCTGGAATTCACTTTAAGTAAAAATCGGGGCAGCTGGGTGGCTCAGTCAGTTAAGCGTCCAACTTCGACTCAGGTCATGATCTCATGGTTCATGGGTTCAAGCCCCGCATCAGGATCTGTGCTGACAGCTATCTCAGAGCCTGGAGCCTGTTTCAGACTCTGTGTCTCCCTCTCTCTCTGACCCTCCCCTGCTCATGCTCTCTCTCTCTGTCTCTCAGAAATAAATAAAACATTCAAAAAATAAAAAAAGTAAAAACCCTCCAGAAATAAGAAAAAGCAGGTGGACAGGCTACTAGAATTGTCCAACACGATTACCTGCACTAATGCAGTAGCCACCAGTCACATATGGCTTTAAGCACTTGAAATGAGACTAGTGTGATTTAAGTAACTGATATTTTAACTTAAATTTAAATAGTCATGGGGTGCCCTGCTGAGTCTGTTGGTGACTCTGGATCTTGGGGTTGCAAGTTTGAGCCCCACGTTAGGTGTAGAGATTACTAAAAAAAATCTTTAAAAAATGTAAATAGCCACATGTGGATAGTTTATTATACAGTCAGGCCAAGATGATCCAAGATTGGTAAAATATTGGCAATTGTCACAGCTGAGTGTTGATGACTAGAGGATGCACTATACAATTTTTGTGTATGCTTCAAAATTTCCACATTAAAAGCTTAAAAATGTAAAAAAAAGGATAAAGACATTTTTAAGTGTTTATTTATGAGAGAGAGAGAGAGAGAGAGAGAGAGAGAGAGAAAGAATGTGCACACAGATGCCCAAGCAGGGGAGGGGCAGAGAGAGAGAATATCCCAAGCAGGCTCCACACTGTTAGCTGGGCTCAAACTCACCAACCATGAGATCATGACCTGACCAGAAATCAAGGGTTGGACGCTTCACTGACTGAGCCACCCAGGCACCCCAAAGACATTTTTAAGTAAAGACCTGAGAGAGTTTACCCATCAAAAAATCATCACTAAAGTAAATTCTCAGTATTCCAGGAAATAGGAATTTGTACACCTAATACGTTAAAAAAGTAGAATGAACAAAAATCAAATGGGTAAAAC